GAATAACTCGTGAAATAATTCAGAAACTCTTGAATACGGTACAATAATCATTCCAGAATTTCCAATTCAAGTCTGAAACGATAGCCACATCATCATCATCATTATTATCATTACTTTTATTATTATATAACCTGATATTTGTTTAGTGCTTAAGAAGGATTGAATTGCTTGTATCTTGTGTTGTATTTATGAAAACTTAACTCGGAGAGTTTCCTGATGAGAAGAAAATAAAAAGCAAGATCAGTCAAATCAAACAGGAAAAGAAGAAGGAAAGGCAAGCAGCTGAAGAATGAGCCCAAGGAGGTGTTTCATTACGAACTGTGTACTTGTTCGAAGGTCAACATAAGTATTCATCCCAAAAAACAACAAAATTTTAAAAGAGTTGTCATTTATTTTAAGTTATTTTCTTCAAGTAAGAAGGAAAAAGCACAAAAAAACAAGAAAATATATAGAAAAACGGCCTGAAAAAGGGTGCACTTTTCCGAAAAATGTGGCTGAAATTGCAATTTTCAAACGATTTTAAAATTTTGAGTATTTATGCCTAAAAAAAAATAAAAACACCCTTGAAAATATTTTCGCTGTTCTATTTTAGTACACTAAATGCCCTATTTCAGTGTTCAAATTCCACAGTTAACGTTTCGCAGAAATCGGTAATATATCAGGAAGTTTTGTCACCTCAAGGTATGAATTAAGTGTTAACAAGTAGCGAAAAAAAGCAGGCGCACTTACAACTATTTGACATTTTGTTTGACGTCGATAATTTTTCATTTTTACACTGTCATTCACTTCGCATATAAGACATTAAGTTAAAAGTATAATTCAATTATCGTTTGTTTGTTTTTTTTCAGAGGAAGTCACATCTCGACCGTAACTAGAATTGCTAATTTTATATATTTGGAGAAGTAGATGCGAATCTAGATTTATACATAGGAACCAAATAAGACGGCTTGGATTTTCCTCTTACTATGTATGTGTGTATTTTTAGCACATATTATACCATAATCATAGTTTACATTTACAGACAAATCTTCTGATTAATATCAGTAAGAATTAGACAAATAAAGGACTGTTAAATAGGGTGCTCGACTCGAAATCTGCAAGTCACGAGATCAAACCTCGTCACCAAATATGCTCGTCATTTCAGACTACTGTCGGTCCCACTATTCGTTGGTAAAAGAGTAGTCCTATAATTGGCGGTTTTGACTAGTTGCCTTCCCTTACTGTTACTGCAAAGTTAGGAACAGCTAGTACAAATAGCCCTCGAATAGCTTTGTGCTAAATCCAAACACACAAATAGACAAGTATATCTCATTGGCATTTTCCTTAAAAATAAAATAATGTTACCCACACCCATACCCGTTACATTACTTCGCTTGTATTCTAATTCTTAAAATATATTATGATTCAAAAGCTATTACAAAACAAATATATGATTGTTTGGAGAACATCACATGGCACAAATTATTCTCCCCTACTTTGTTGTTACGATACAAACTGTGAAACTCACTTTAGATATCGCCTGTTATGGCTAAACTGACAATCAGGCAGTCTTACTTCACTTTCACTAACTTACCTTTTTTCACTCTGTATCTGCACATATTTATAACACGCGACAGAAAAATTTAGAAATATCTAACCCCTAGTGACAACGATATTCACATAAGGAGAAAAACTTAGGAGCTTCGAGTAAGATGACGTCAACAGTATTACAGAAACCTAGTACAACAATCAAACTACATACACAATGTATGATTCCTACAGTTACGTAATGAAACTTCTCATAACTATCGTATTTAAATATATATCTTTTAACACTCTTGTTATGAAAACTAAATAATAATTAAATATTAAATCATAGCTCTTAAGGTAAGCAGTTTTGTATATCCAATAAGGTCACAATTGATCATCACATGAACTGGTTGTTTGTTTTTGAATTTCGCGCAAAGCTACACGAGGGCTATCTGCGCTA